CTGATTTATAGTTGGTAATAGCTGATTTATAGTTGATAATGGCTGATTTATAGTTGATAATGGCTGATTTATAGTTGATAATGGCTGATTTATAGTTGATAATAGCTGATTTATAGTTGATAATAGCTGATTTATAGTTGATAATGGCTGATTTATAGTTGATAATAGCTGATTTATAGTTGATAATAGCTGATTTATAGTTGGTAATAGCTGATTTATAGTTGGTAATAGCTGATTTATAGTTAATAATAGCTGATTTATAGTTGGTAATAGCTGATTTATAGTTGGTAATAGCTGATTTATAGTTAATAATAGCTGATTTATAGTTAAAAATAGCTGATTTATAGTTGGTAATAGCTGATTTATAGTTAATAATAGCTGATTTATAGTTGGTAATAGCTGATTTATAGTTAATAATAGCTGATTTATAGTTGGTAATAGCTGATTTATAGTTGGTAATAGCTGATTTACAGTTAATAATATATAGCTGATTTATAGTTGATAATAGCTGATTTATAGTTAATAATATATAGCTGATTTATAGTTAATAATAGCTGATTTATAGTTGGTAATAGCTGATTTATAGTTAATAATAGCTGATTTATAGTTGGTAATAGCTGATTTATAGTTGGTAATAAGTGATTTATAGTTAATAATAGCTGATTTATAGTTGGTAATAGCTGATTTATAGTTGATTATAGCTGATTTATAGTTGATTATAGCTGATTTATAGTTGATAATAGCTGATTTATAGTTGATTATAGCTGATTTATAGTTGATAATAGCTGATTTATAGTTGGTAATAGCTGATTTATAGTTGATAATTGCTGATTTATAGTTGATAATAGCTGATTTATAGTTGATATTAGCTGATTTATAGTTGATACTAGCTGATTTATAGTTGATAATAGCTGATTTATAGTTGATAATAGCTGATTTATAGTTGATAATAGCTGATTTATAGTTGGTAATAGCTGATTTATAGTTGGTAATAGCTGATTTATAGTTGGTAATAGCTGATTTATAGTTAATAATAGCTGATTTATAGTTGGTAATAGCTGATTTATAGTTGGTAATAGCTGATTTATAGTTAATAATAGCTGATTTATAGTTAAAAATAGCTGATTTATAGTTGGTAATAGCTGATTTATAGTTAATAATAGCTGATTTATAGTTGGTAATAGCTGATTTATAGTTAATAATAGCTGATTTATAGTTGGTAATAGCTGATTTATAGTTGGTAATAGCTGATTTACAGTTAATAATATATAGCTGATTTATAGTTGATAATAGCTGATTTATAGTTAATAATAGCTGATTTATAGTTGAGTTAATAGCTGATTTATAGTGGTATAGCTGATTATAGTTAATAATAGCTGATTTATAGTTGGTAATAGCCGATTTATAGTTGAGAAATGGCTGATTTATGAGTTGATAATAGCTGATGTATAGTTGGTAATAGCTGATTTATAGTTGATAATGGCGGATTTATAGTTGATAATAGTTGATTTATAGTTGATAATGGCTGATTTATAGTTGATAATAGCTGATTTATAGTTGATAATGGCTGATTTATAGTTGATAATGGCTGATTTATAGTTGATAATGGCTGATTTATAGTTGATAATGGCTGATTTATAGTTGATAATGGCTGATTTATAGTTGATAATAGCTGATTTATAGTTGATAATAGCTGATTTATAGTTGATAATAGCTGATTTATAGTTAATAATAGCTGATTTATAGTTGGTAATAGCTGATTTATAGTTGATAATAGCTGATTTATAGTTGATAATGGCTGATTTATAGTTGGTAATAGCTGATTTATAGTTGATAATGGCTGATTTATAGTTGATAATAGCTGATTTATAGTTAATAATAGCTGATTTATAGTTGGTAATAGCTGATTTATAGTTGGTAATAGCTGATTTATAGTTGATAATAGCTGATTTATAGTTGATAATAGCTGATTTATAGTTGATCATAGCTGATTTATAGTTGATAATGGCTGATTTATAGTTGGTAATAGCTGATGTATAGTTGGTAATAGCTGATTTATAGTTGGTAATAGCTGATTTATAGTTGGTAATAGCTGATTTATAGTTGATAATAGCTGATTTATAGTTGATAATGGCTGATTTATAGTTGATAATAGCTGATTTATAGTTGATAATAGCTGATTTATAGTTGGTAATAGCTGATTTATAGTTGGTAATAGCTGATTTATAGTTGATAATGGCTGATTTATAGTTGATAATGGCTGATTTATAGTTGATAATAGCTGATTTATAGTTGGTAATAGCTGATGTATAGTTGGTAATAGCTGATTTATAGTTGGTAATAGCTGATTTATAGTTGATAATGGCTGATTTATGGTTGATAATAGCTGATTTATAGTTGGTAATAGCTGATTTATAGTTGATAATAGCTGATTTATAGTTGATAATAGCTGATTTATAGTTGGTAATAGCTGATTTATAGTTGGTAATAGCTGATTTATAGTTAATAATAGCTGATTTATAGTTGGTAATAGCTGATTTATAGTTGATAATAGCTGATTTATAGTTGATAATAGATGATTTATAGTTGATAATGGCTGATTTATAGTTGATAATAGCTGATTTATAGTTGATAATAGCTGATTTATAGTTGATAATGGCTGATTTATAGTTGATAATGGCTGATTTATAGTTGATAATAGCTGATTTATAGTTGATTAATAGCTGATTTATAGTGATAATAGCTGATTTAGAGTTGATAAGAGCGGATTTTAGTGATAAGAGCTGATTTTATAGTGATAATAGCTGTTTATAGTGAACATGGCTATTATAGTTGATAATAGCTGATTTATAGTTGATAATAGCTGATTTATAGTTGATAATAGCTGATTTATAGTTGATAATGGCTGATTTATAGTTGATAATAGCTGATTTATAGTTGATAATGGCTGATTTATAGTTGATAATGGCTGATTTATAGTTGATAATAGCTGATTTATAGTTGATAATAGCTGATTTATAGTTGAGAATAGCTGATTTATAGTTGATAATAGCTGATTTATAGTTGATAAGAGCTGCTTTATAGTTGATAATAGCTGCTTTATAGTTGATAAGAGCTGCTTTATAGGTGATGATAGCTGATTTATAGTTGATAAATAGCTGATTTATAGTTGATAATAGCTGATTTATAGTTGATAATAGCTGATGTATAGTTGATGATAGCTGATGTATAGTTGATAATAGCTGATTTATAGTTGATAATAGCTGATTTATAGTTGATAATAGCTGATTTATAGTTGATAATAGCTGATTTATAGTTGATAATAGCTGATTTATAGTTGATAATGGCTGATTTATAGTTGATAATGGCTGATGTATAGTTGATAATAGCTGATTTATAGTTGATAATAGCTGATTTATAGTTGATAATAGCTGATTTATAGTTGAGATTAGCTGATTTATAGTTGATAATCGCTGATTTATAGTTGAGAATAGCTGACTTATAGTTGATAATAGCTGATTTATAGTTGATAATAGCTGATTTATAGTTGATAATAGCTGATTTATAATTGATAATAGCTGATTTATAATTGAGAATAGCTGATTTATAGTTGATAATAGCCGATTTATAGTTGATAATAGCTGATTCATAGTTGATAATAGCCGATTTATAGTTGATAATAGCCGATTCATAGTTGATAATAGCTGATTCATAGTTGATAATAGCTGATTTATAGTTGGTAATAGCTGATGTATAGTTGGTAATAGCTGATTTATAGTTGGTAATAGCTGATTTATAGTTGGTAATAGCTGATTTATATTGATAATAGTGATTTATAGTTGATAATGGCTGATTTATATTGATAATAGCTGATTTATAGTTAATAATAGCTGATTTATAGTTGGTAATAGCTGATTTATAGTTGATAATAGCTGATTTATAGTTGATAATAGCTGATTTATAGTTGATAATGGCTGATTTATAGTTGATAATAGCTGATTTATAGTTGATCATAGCTGATTAATAGTTGATCATAGCTGATTTATAGTTGATAATAGCTGATTTATAGTTGATCATAGCTGATTTATAGTTGATAATAGCTGATTTATAGCTGATAATAGCTGATTTATAGTTGATAATAGCTGATTTATAGCTGATAATATCTGATTTATAGTTGATAACAGCTGATTTATAGTTGATAACAGCTGATTTATAGTTGATAATAGCTGATTTATAGTTGATAGTAGCTGATTTATAGTTGATAATAGCTGATTTATAGTTGATAGTAGCTGATTTATAGTTGATAATAGCTGATGTATAGTTGATAATAGCTGATGTATAGTTGATAATAGCTGATGTATAGTTGATAATAGCTGATGTATAGTTGATAATAGCTGATGTATAGTTGATAATAGCTGATGAATAGTTGATAATAGCTGATGTATAGTTGATAATAGCTGATTTATAGTTGATAATAGCCGATTTATAGTTGATAATAGCCGATTCATAGTTGATAATAGCTGATTCATAGTTGATAATAGCTGATGTATAGTTGATAATAGCTGATGTATAGTTGATAATAGCTGATTTATACGTATAGCTGATTTATAGTTGATAATAGCTGGTTTATAGTTGATAATAGCTGATTTATAGTTGATAATAGCTGGTTTATAGTTGATAATAGCTGATTTATAGTTGATAATAGCTGATTTATAGTTGATAATAGCTGATTTATAGTTGATAATAGCTGATTTATAGTTGATCATAGCTGATTTATAGTTGATCATAGCTGATTAATAGTTGATCATAGCTGATTTATAGTTGATAATAGCTGATTAATAGTTGATAATAGCTGATGTATAGTTGATAATAGCTGATTTATAGTTGATAATAGCTGATGTATAGTTGATAATAGCTGATTTATAGTTGATAATAGCTGATGTATAGTTGATAATAGCTGATTTATAGTTGATAATAGCTGATGTATAGTTGATAATGGCTGATGTATAGTTGATAATAGCTGATTTATAGTTGATAATAGCTGATTTATAGTTGATAATAGCTGACGTATAGTTGATAATAGCTGATTTATAGTTGATAATAGCTGATGTATAGTTGATAATGGCTGATTTATAGTTGATAATAGCTGATTTATGGTTGATAATAGCTGATTTATAGTTGATAATAGCTGATTTGTAGTTGATAAAAGCTGATTTAATAGTTGATAATAGCTGATTTGTAGTTGATAATAGCTGATGTATAGTTGATAATAGCTGATTTATAGTTGATAATAGCTGATTTATAGTTGATAATAGCTGATGTATAGTTGATAATAGCTGATGTATAGTTGATAATAGCTGATGTATAGTTGATAATAGCTGATTCATAGTTGATAATAGCTGATTCATAGTTGATAATAGCTGATTCATAGTTGATAATAGCTGATTCATAGTTGATAATAGCTGATTTATAGTTGATAATAGCCGATTTATAGTTGATAATAGCTGATTCATAGTTGATAATAGCTGATTCATAGTTGATAATAGCTGATTCATAGTTGATAATAGCTGATTCATAGTTGATAATAGCTGATGTATAGTTGATAATAGCTGATGTATAGTTGATAATAGCTGATTTATAGTTGATAATAGCTGATTTATAGTTGATAATAGCTGATTTATAGTTGAGATTAGCTGATTTATAGTTGATAATAGCTGATTTATAGTTGATAAGAGCTGCTTTATAGTTGATAATAGCTGCTTTATAGTTGATAAGAGCTGCTTTATAGGTGATGATAGCTGATTTATAGTTGATAAATAGCTGATTTATAGTTGATAATAGCTGATTTATAGTTGATAATAGCTGATGTATAGTTGATGATAGCTGATGTATAGTTGATAATAGCTGATTTATAGTTGATAATAGCTGATTTATAGTTGATAATAGCTGATTTATAGTTGATAATAGTTGATTTATAGTTGATAATAGCTGATTTATAGTTGATAATAGCTGATTTATAGTTGAGAATAGCTGATTTATAGTTGATAATAGCTGATTTATAGTTGATAATAGCTGACGTATAGTTGATAATAGCTGATTTATAGTTGATAATAGCTGATTCATAGTTGAGCTTGTAAACCAACTTATAACTGGGGGGAACCACCCTCAGTCTTCCAGTGTTTCCACTTGTACACTTTGAACTGGATTATTTTCACCCAACCAACTTAATTCGTAGATACCCCTGTAAGTAGGGGTACTTCCAGGTTTTTTTTGCGTTTTTTTTGTGCCCCAAATGGGCTGCAGAGCTCAACCACTGAGGTGGAAGGGAAAGATGGCCTCCGACGTTTTGGCACCGTCCTGGAGGTGCGAGGTTTCCAGGGTTGCCCCGAAGAAATCCGGCAGAAAATTCCGGTCATCTGACTTTGTCCACTGTTGGAGTTAAATCTAGGGCCAGTAAAACCTGGGAAATCTTGGAAACATTTCATCCTCGCATGAGATTTGGAGCCAAATCCTATCCTGTGCAGGATGGGCCCCCCAATAGCGTTCAGTTGCCTTGTAAGTGGCTGAACATTATGGTTTATGGATGTTTATGGTAGATATAACTCAGATCTAACTATAGTTAATGGGGGTTATTTCATGGTTTATGAAGCAACTTCCAACTGGATACCTCCTCTATATCCCCATCCTTCAAGGTCGATGCGGAGAAGGGCGGAAAAACCGTGAAGTTGGACCTGGAAGCCAGCGATCCCGATGAGGCGGACCTTCCTGATGTGGGAGTCCAACGGGGGAAGGTTCCAGGAATACACGGCAGATTTTACTCAGATGCGTTTTAAACCATGGCTTTCTAGAGATCAATTGGACAAAACTATGTGTGGAGTTGCTTGTTGGACCCGGAAGATGAAGTTTGTTCATTTTGAGCATTTTAAGTTGGTGGAGTCAAGCATGTGAATCGCAGCTG